GTCAGGCGGCTTGTGGAGACCACCCATGTGGTGGTAGGGCTCAGGCAGCTTTGGCAGAAAGATTTATCATAACAGAATGGTGTCAGAAGTGTGATGACCCCATGCCCCTAGGTTCCCAGAGAAAGAGGGAGACCTGCCACCACAGCCTGCCCTGTCGGGCTCCTGAGAGGCATTGGAGTAGCTTCCATATGCTCAAGCCATTGCGGTGCTCTTGGTGCTTAGGGGCTGGCTAAAGGTTCCCTACAGTTAGTGAAAGAAACAGTTTGTTCCTGAAACCAGAGCCTAGAATGCCTCTGACCAACTGAATCCTAAAACCAACTAATCCTGGAGAATGAAAAGTAACCGATTCAGATCCCAAAGGATACAATAAACGGTGATGACACCCCATGGAAGGCCTCACCACCCAGGGGGAGCAGAAAGGGTATGTGATAGGTAGGGTTTAATTGGGGGGTGGGGGGACTAGGGGTTGAGGGAAGGGAGAAGGAACTGGGATTGGTATGTAAAACAATCTTGTTTCTAATTCAAATAAAAAATCTGCAGAAAATAAAGAAAAGAAAAGAAACCAATTCTGATACGATAATCTTCTCCCTGAGAAAACTCCACCCCTAAGAAGTTCTGTCTTAGCCTCCTTCCTGTGGAGTTGCTGACTGTCCTTTCCCACCCTGGCAGAGGCAACTACCCTCCTGGACTCCTGACTCCCAAAAAAATATTTCTCAAAAGAGTCTTGGGTGAAGATCTTCATTCACCAGTGCAGAATAGAAGAACTTTGCTGAGTTCCCTTAGGGGCTGAGCAGAAAATCATTGCGGGGTTGTTCCCTTAGGAGCATTCAGCAAGGCTGAGCAGAAAAAAGTAACAACTTTTCACCAGAGACAGGAGATTGCTACATTTCTGCCACAGCTTCTCATTTGGCAGATTTTAGCAGAAGAAGTAACATCTTGGACCTCAGCAGGAGAAGCAGCTAGCTCTGTTAGGATGTTCCCTTAGGGGAACAGAGCAGAGAAAAACTGTACCTCCTCTATCTAGGGGAGCAGCAAAATTGCTCTATCATGCGGGGAGGCCATTCCCCACTGCACCCAGCTTCAGGTATGACCTGACTTCCCAACAACTCAGGATACCTTTCCCTCAAGAGCTAAGGTGTCCTAATGCAGCTCCAGCCTCCAGAGATTTCTTATGGCGGCTCTGGCTCTAACTATAGCCTGGCTTCCCAATAAATCAGGACACCTTTTCAGCTCCAAAAATGTAACACTCACTCCCTTCCTTACAAGAATCTTCTAGACTGCACCAGGGAAAGGCTGGAGGAGTGGGCTCTTTTGAAGAGAACTTGCTTAACACACATTCAACTCCGGGTTTCTCAGCTCCCACGAGGACACAATTGGGGTGGAGGGTCAACAAAGTCTCAAGCATTATTTGTAGAACTCCACTTTCTCCAAAAGATAAGAAAGCTGAACACAAAGTTTCCATGTTTACATTCAATAGAGTCCATTAAACTGAAGTAAATTTGGCCAAAGGGAACTTCTGTATGTAACTAACTAACCAAACACAGCAGGCAACCAAACTACACACTAATTTGAGATTATGTTATTTCTGTGAAGAACAAATCTCAGTTACTCAGAACAGTTTACCTACCCCAGTCTAACAACTATTCCCAGCATGGCCAAATAAGGTAAACGCAGAGCTGGCACCTATCAGGCTGTGTGTCCATGCCCAGCTGGTGCTGGAACTCCGAACTTTGTCTGGTCCAGGATATTATCTATCATGAATGGTCTTCTGGATCCAATAAAAGCTAATAATTTTGATGTCTCTTAAAATTTAACAAGAGTGCAAACAGGGGCTAGTGTGTGAAGACATGCCCCTTGTCACCAGTGCTCACAGCTAAAGTCAATGTCTCCCCAGCCATCAACACCCTACCCAGTTCATAGCACTGTGGATAGACTGTGTCAGCTGTTCTTGCTGCTGTTTCCTAAGAAAATGGTTTGCTCATGTTTAGAGGACTGTAAATACCTCCCCAGAGTCCTCCTGACCAGGATTCTCCTTTAGGTCAAGAGTCCCCTTGTGGACCTGTAGCCAGGGTGAATGGGATGGATCAGGCAGAGCAGCTGGGATAGACTCAGGAAACGTGGACCTAGTCCTGTCTGTGTCCTGGAGGAAGAGCCTGCCCTCTAGTGTCAGGGAGAGGAAGCACAGCTGAGTCTCACCTATAGAGAAGGGCATAAAAGCTTCATTTTTCTTCAGTGCCCCATTGGCATCCAGGAAGCGGTCAGGATTGAAGGTGTCTGGTTGTTCAAAGTACTGTGGGTCATGGAGAGCTGAGCTCAGGATGGGGTAGACTTCAGTGTCCTAGGAGACATTACGAGATACAAAGGTGTCAGCATTCCCTGACTGATATATGCAGACAGTCACTTCACCAGTAAGACACCAGGAATGCTGGGAAACCAAGAACAGGCTGGTACTAGGATGGAGGAGAAGGCAGGGGGCTCAGGGGGGAGAGATAAGGTCTCACCTTGGGGAGCAGGTACCCGCGGAACAAAGTGTCTTTGGTGACTTTGTGTGGCACACCAATCGGGACAACATCTGAAAGTCTCTGAATCTCGTGGATGACGGCATCAGTGTATGGCATTTTGGTGCGGTCGTCAAGGGTTGGTAGGCGGTGGGAACCGATCACCTCTTCGATCTCCTTTTGGACTTTCTCTGCACGGAAGAGGGGAAGAGTGGATCTACTCTGCCAGCTTTGTAGCAGTGATGCTTTATTCTAGGAGCCAACAACCCAGGAGAGAGTCCAGGAAGGAGACGCTCCTGAATAAAGCAGTGTCCTTGAGGGTACAAAACTGCCCTATCCTTAAGTGACTGTCCCTCCATGTCCATGTGTAAAACTAAATTAAATCTCTCCTCTGTAGCTTCAACCTCATTTCAGGAGGGTTTTTTAAATAGTAAGTAAAACACACTGCAAAGGGCTACTGCGTAGGGACACTTCATACAATTATTTTGGTTTGGGAGTGTGAGGGAGACAAGCAGTAAAAATTTCCACCTTTGGCAAGGGAATGAATTCTCTCCATATACACACACGCATGCACAAGCACACACACAATCATGCATGCATATACACACATAAACACAGGCACACACACATGGGCACACACACGCCTGAATACATATACACATACACACATGCAAATAAACACACATACACATGCATGCATCCATACATATATGCACACACACTCATGTACACACACATGCAAACACACATGCACACAAACATCTAGATAAAAGCACAGATGCACACATGCAGGCTTTCAGGTGGATATTCACCATAGCTTTACATGGATTAGTTATATGAAGTACTCCAAGTGGCATCCTTTGAATATAACCGAGAAGCAGGTGGAATAGCAAATGAATCTATCCATGGATGATGTAAATATGATTCCAGGAGAAAATTAAGGGCACAATCAATTAATAAATGGACAGATTCAGGAGTTAATGAAACGAACAGACTGAACACTGGATAATGTATTCCACTTGCAAAGCAACAGATGATTCAATTAGTGGGTAAACGGAAGAATGGATAAACAAACGAAAGATGGATTCAAAGGCCTGTTTGTGAAAGGATTAAGAAATGACACTGTTGTTAGAGGATGCATGAGTTATGAATAAATCAATGATGGATAATTTATACAAGTCTATTGGTCAAAGGAAAACGTAAGCAGAGTTACTGAAATAAATGAATGAAATGTTTGGTTGGGTGATTGAAGAATCAGTTGGATAAATGGATAGATATATGGTTGAGTGCTTGGGTACTAGGGGTGTGTGAGTGTGAACGAGTGTGCATGACTCTGTGTGTGTGAATAAGTGTGTATTTGTGTGTGTTGAGTGTGTGTGTGTGTGTGAGTGTGTGTGAGAGTCTCTCTCTCTCTCTGTGAGTGTGTGTGAATAAGTGTGTATGAGTGTGTGTGTGTGTGAGTGTGTGTGTGTTTGTGAATGTGTGTTTGTGAATGTGTGTGTGTGTGTGTGTGTGTGTGTGTCTATAGGTGTGTAGATGGAAGGATGTTGAGTTACAGGTGTTTGGATAGATGGATGTTCAGATGGTTGGGAAAATGAATGAAGGGATGGTGGACGGCAGGTGGGTTGGTGGGTGGACAGACAGGGGGGGGAATGAACCGAGTAAGGGTGGGTGAGACATGCATGGACGGAAAGATGAGTGAATAGACGGATGGAAAGATGGGAGGAAGGAAGGAAGGTTATACATGGATGGAAGGATGGATGGAAGGATGGATGGAAGGATGGCTGGATGGATGGAAGGATGGATGGATGGGTGGATGGATGGATGGAAGGATGGATGGATGGGTGGATGGATGGATGGATTGGTGGGTAGATCAACCTTTAAATGATAGGAACAATGGAAAATGGATCAGCTGAGGGTTAATTCATAAACCACCCACAGCACTGCCCTAGTTTAGAAGTAGACCAAAGACTTCAGAGCTCCAGATATGAGAGATCCAGGTCTCTCTCGTTCACACAAACCTCCACAGCCAAGAAGAAGCTGGAAGCTCCCCCACCTGACATCCTGGGGCCCACCTGCAACATGGGGGTATTTGAGCATGAGCAGGAAGCCATAGTGGAGCGTGGTGCTGCTGGTCTCGGTACCAGCAAAGAAGAGAGCCAGCACTGTGAGCACGAGGTTCTTTTGTTGGAACTCCGTGTGTGGGTTGGACTTCTCCTGGTTCCAGACAGGAGAGAGAAAGGAGGGTCACGGTGACTGGAGCCTTGCAGGGAGATGCTCACACATCCTGGACACTGACCTTCTGTCTCACTCTATGGACCACATGGCATTTCTCAGTCCCTGATAATGTCACCTGGTCTCTGTGTGTTCTGTCTTCTCTCTCTACTCTGCTCTGTGATAGTTTATCACGGTGTTTGCCCCGGCTCTTTCTTGCTCTGTCTCCCTCTGAGGTCTTTTCTGCCTTTTGTCCCTTGTCCTGTGTGTCTTGCACAGCCTTCTTTCTCCCTATTTCATCTTCTCCTCCCTTTCTCTATTCTTCATTTTCCTGATGCTTCTGCATCTCCTCCACTCCATTTCCTGTCTCTCCTCCCCATCCTCTGCCCCTCATTTCCTCTGCTCACATCCTCAGCCCTCACTCTCTCATCCCCTCTCACTCATGCAGGACTTACCTTCTCCATGCGTAGAAGGTAGGTATCAATGAAGTCTCTTGGATTGCTGGGGTCCAAGGTTTTTTGGTGCTGCTCCACACTGCGTTCAATGTAGTCAAGGATTTCCTGGGTGATTTTGGAGATGCGTACCTGTGCACCAGGAAAGTATTTCAGGAAGCCAGAGAAGAGCTCAAACACCTGCAGGAATAAAGGAACAGGAGGTCACCTGGAGCTATCAGTCTAAAGAAGCAGGATGTGTTCCTAGGTCCCCATATTTCATGAGGATCCGCGCTCTCTCCTTCTAACCTCCCCACTTCCCTCCCTTTGTTTTCCTGCTCTCATTTCCCAATCTTCTCTTGCTCCCTCCTTTCCCTCTCATGCACATGGACATAGGGCATGCTGTCAGTGTGTTTCTGCTGTGCATCTGTCTCTAGCAATTGTCCTGTGTTCTCTCTCTCTTCCTAAGCCATCAATTTTTTTTTCAATCAGGATCTGCTGTCATTCACACTGTCCCCAAACTCAATATTTACCCAGAAGTAGCCTTGACCTCTGCTCTCACATGTACTGGGATTACAAATGTGCACCAACCATACCTTATTTTGCCTTATTTTGTGCTAGAGATGAGCCCAGGCATTTAAACATGGCAGACAATTCCTCTGCCCTCTTAGCTACACCCACAGTCCCCATGTCATCATTTTCTCATATCTGGGTGGCTCTATATTTCTTTATTCAGTTCTCTTCAAATTGAGAACCACTGTCTCTCCTTCCCTCCCGGCCTGAGGCTCCTGGCCTCTCCATGTTTCCCCATCCTGTTCCCCATCCCTCTGTCACTCCTGCTCTCACCCTCCTTGCCTCTCCATGTTGTCTCTGCGTTTCTTCCAGCCCTAGAGCACTCCCTTCTGTACACAGAGAGCAGCCTCCTCTTCCTCTGCTGTGGATTTTCCTCTCTTCCCCCCCACTGACCTGGCTGGAGAAGGAGCTGATGAGTGAGTAGATTTGAAAGATCAGGTCCAGCAGGCGCAGGAATTGGCGATCTTTGTAGTCAAAGCGCTCTCCAAAGACAATGGAGCAGATGATGTTGGCTGTGATGCACTTGAAGAGAAACTTGGGGTCCAGGGGGGCTCCTGGAGGATGAAGAGGCAGGACAGGAGACAGGGCATCAAAAGGAACGTTTGGCCTTGGCCCTATCTCTGCAAAGCTGTCCCCTCCACTTGCTACCAAGAGAATAGAAAGAGCTGCTATCCCATTTGCACATTTGATGCACCGGGTCCTCACCCAAATTTCACACACCAGTTTGTATAGTTTCCTCTCAATATTGTACATGAGATGCAATGCTATTAGGACACACAGAGACAGTAGATAACCTCTCCAAGGTAACACAGCTACTCATGACTGGGACCAGGATTCATACCAGGGAGCTGAGAAGGAGGAGAGCATGTGTAAGTTAGTCCACACCCTGCACATCCTTGCAGGGCAACAGTCTGACTCTAAGCTAAAGAGCTAACTCCCACTGGTTGCTCGTGTGGATTTAGAAGTCTTTCCTAGATCCTTCTCTGATCCCAGAGTCTCTGGTGCTCCAAGCACCATCAGCACTTGGTGCCTTTGAATTCTCGGCTCCACCCTGGGCCCACATGATGTGGGATATTGGCAGTCCAGCAGTATTGGGTCACTGTTGTCCCTCTCTCTGGGTCTCACTTGTTTGTCGTCCCTGAGTCAAGATCTTGCCCTTGAGTTTGTCAGTCTTCATCTGTCTCTCTGATTTCCGGTATAAATGTCTTGCAGCATTTTTGTCTCTTTCTCTTCTCCCTCCTGCTACTACTTCCTCCTGCCCTCTACTCCCCCAACCCAGCATTTTCTCTTCTGTTTGGTTCCTCCTGCTCCATCTCAGCTTCCTGGTCTCTGTCCCCTGCTTTCTCCTTCGTTCTTCTTAGTCCCTTGATTCTCTCTGCTCCCTTCCAGCCTCTGCATGGACATCTCAGAGTCTCCCGAGAAGCCGTAGGATAAATCTTTCGATAAAGACCAATGTGGAGGAATGAGGTGCCAAGAACCATCTTGGTCATTAGAGTGCCCCTGTTAAGAAGCTTCTATAAGTACCCAGAAGTGCTTATGACCTCCACAAAGGAAAACACCATCAGGACACCCATTAGAAAAAAACCCAGTTTCCTACTTCCAATACCAACCATGGACATAGACAATGTTTTGAGACTATTTAATGTCATCAAGATGGCCTTGTATTCCATATAAAGCCAAGGATGACCTCAGCATCTAAACTCCTGCCTCTACTTCACCTGTACCAAGATGATCAGCATGCATCACCATGCCAACGTTGTGGTGTTAGGCACCAGCCTGGGAAGTGTGTGTGTGCCGGGCAAGCTCAGCATGCCTCGATTGCACCACAGCGTCAAGCACTTTTTGTCTTTGAGTCAAGATTTCATGATGTAGCCAAACTACATCCTGTCTCAGCCCCCTGAGTATTGGGATGACATGCTTGTGCCATCATGCCAGACTGACACCTATTCTTAACCCAGGCATTGATTTCCCTGGATGTATGCAGCCAGCATGCAAATCACTCAATCTTTGTCTCTGAGTTATTCTTGGACACTGTCAACTTTGTATCTCTTTCTCTGTCTTTCTGTATCTCTCTCCCCACCCCCATCCTCTCCCCAGTGTGTGTGCATGTGTTTGTGTGTGTGTGTGTGTGTGATATGTGCGGTATATGTTGTGTGTGTGTGTCGGGTGTGTATAGAATGTGTGTCTGTGGTGTGTGTGTGTGTGTGTGTGTGTTGGTGTGTGTATGTGTGTATCTTCTCTACCCATGTGAGTTTGTCTATGTATGTGTTTGTGAGTATGTGTGTGGGATGTGGTGTGTGTGTGTGTGTGTGTGAGTGTGTGTGTGTGGTATGGGTGGTGTGCGTTGTGTCTATATGGGGTGTATCTATGTGTGTGTGTGTGTGTGTGTGTGTGTGTGTGTGTGTGTG